TACCAGGGCTTTCTGTGGCACCAGCAGGAGTTGAGGACCTTCTCGACTTCATACTCTTCCCCCCCCCATCTATGATTTCAGGGCTTGGGCAGGGGTTGGCAGGTGATTCGGTGATCCCATCTGGGCAGTAGGGTCGGATGTTTGTTACTGACACCACTGGGTGGACTCCCTTTTGCCATGCTGTAAGTTGGAGTTTGATGGCAGTGGGGGATACAACCTTGAGAATTTTAAAGGGGCCCATCCATTTGTGATCTAGCTTCTTGGTCAGGTGGTCTGTGGTGTAGTTCTGGGTACTGAGCCAGACTTGATCACCTTCCTTGTACTCAGGTGCTACTTCTCGATTCTGGTCATAGTAGCAGGCCATCTCCTCCGCTGCATGCTCTAGTGCCACTTTCACCTCCGCTTGCATTTTCATCATTCTTGAGGTGAATGCATCTGCAGCCTCGACTTCTGACATTGTTATGGAAATGGGAAATTCCCATTTTTAGCCTCTTATGGCCTCTGTACAGTATATTATCACGTGACATGTATATAATAAGAACTTAACAAACAACAATCACCAAAATCCACACTTTGTTAATGTCATTGTAAAGACAACTGTTAAACCTCTGTTACATTAACTGTAACACTATTTTTGATGTCACAGCCACTCCCTGCACCCGGACGCTATAGAAATGGGCCAATTAGGCCCCATTTTTATAACAGACATGCATGTAGGTTCCATCCCCATTCTGGGGTGCTGGCCGGTGTCGAGCTCAAAGGGGGTGCAGCAGGTGGATGCGTGGACATGGTTGTTGTGGGAGAACTCTGCCCAGTCATCTTGGCAGTGGTTGACAAACACTCGGAGGTAGGCTTCTATCTCTTGGTTCACCTGCTCTGTCTGTCCATCTGTCTGCAGGTGATAGGGTGCCAAGGGGGTCGCTTGACCGCTAGCAGGGCTGCCAGCTCTTTGGAGAACTGGGAGACAAAGGCGCTTCCTCTGTCACTGAGAATTTCCTTGGGGAGGCCATGATGCTTCCAGACATGTTTGAGGAGTTGGGCAATTCCTGCTGAGTCTACCGTCGTGACTGTGGGGATTGTGTGGATGCACTTGGAAAGATGATCCACCACAACCAGGATGGCATTGTAACCTTTTTGACTCAGGGAGCTCTCTGATCATATCTACAGAGATCACCTGCCAGTGGCAGGTTGTAAGGGGTTGGTGTAGGTTCCAACCCCACATCAGCAAACCTGGATGCGGAGGCCTGAGAGCTCATAGAGCTCATAGAGCTCTCAGAGCTCTCAGAGCTTCAGTACTTTGAAATTGCAGGTCCCCTTCTCTGAGAGCTCCGAAAAGTAGTCAAAGCTCTGAGAGCTCATAGAGCTATATTTGCACACAGGGGACTATTATCTATATGAGCTCCCTGAGTGTTTAATTTACCCGATATTAAAATTTAAAAGCATTGACTATGGCATCATGTGACTAGCCATAGCCAAGTCCCTACCATACAAGGGACTGAACAAACTCAGCTTCACTTTCAGCACCAATGCGGCACCAGACACCAAGGGTATGTAGCCCAATCAATATATAAGCCAAATTTAGGGATATAAATGCAGTTAATCTGAAATTACTTAGGGAAAATGCGGGAAAATGAGTGGGAAAATGAGTGGGGGGGAAATGGGGGGGAAATGGGGGGGAAATGGGGGGGAAATTGAGGGGGGGAATGGGGGGGAATTGGGGGGGGATGAGGGAGAAAATGAGGGGAAAATTAAAGGGGGAAATGGGGGGAAAATGAGTGGGGGGAAAATGAGTGGGGGGAAAATGAGTGGGGGGAAAATGAGGGGGGAAATGAGGGGAAAATGGAGGGGGGGAATGGGGTGACATTTGGAGGGGGAAATGAGGAGGGAATGAGGGGGGAATGAGGGGGGAATGAGGGGGAAAATGAGGGAGGAAATGGAGGGGGGAAATGGGGGGGGAATGAGGGGAAATTTGAAGCGGGAAATTTGGAGGGGAGAATGGGGGGAATGGGGGGAAAATTGAGGAGGGAATTGAGGGGAAAATTGAGGGGGAATGGGGGGGGGAATGAGGGGAAATTTGGAGGGGGGAATGGGGGAGAAATGGGGGGGAAATTGAGGGGCGAATGAGGGGGAAATTGAGGTGGGAATTGGGGGGGGAATGAGGGGGAATTTGAAGGGGGAAATTGGGAGGGGGGAATGGGGGGGGAATGGGGGGGAAATCGAAGGGGGGGATGGGGGAAATTGAGGGGGGGGGATGAAGGGGAAAATGGGAGGAAAATGAGGGGGAACTGGGGGGTTTCTAAAAACTTGAAAAAAAGTCAGGGAAAATTAAGGAAAATTCAGAAAATGGGGGACTTTCTAAAAAAGGAGAATGTCCAAAAAATCAGGGGAAAAATCAGAAATTTTGGGATAAGTTAGGGAGAGATATTTCAGGAAATTAGGAATAATTGGAAAAAAAAAATTAATTCACTTTTTTGATAATTCAATGTGCATTGGAAAGTGCCAAAGTGGGGCAATGTAGCAATGTATGTTTCAGTGTTAGAAAAGTCTCCCACCATGTTTTGGTGAGTGTCAGGGCACAGCCCTCACTATTCCACAATCCTGCATGCATGCAGACCCATGGGAAAGTTCTGGGCAAGTTACTCACCCAGAAACCATCACAGCCACAACTGTGGGAACTTTCTGGGTGAGCAGCTCGTTCCCACGGGGGGTGCCATTTATGGAAAGTCAACAAAGAGCTGAAAACTGTATAGTTCCTGGCTCCCATTTGTAGAGGAGGTTGAGAAGGTTTAGCCCCCTCAGTGAGTTTGAGGATCTCGGACTGGGACTAGATACCCCAGCGACTAGGAGGATCCCCCTGGGCCCGTCACAGAACAAGGGCTGGGCCCTGACAGTGAGCCAAATAACCATGGCTTTTTGACCATGGGAAATTTGGTGTCAAAGGCTTGGATGATATCTGAAGAATACATCAGCTTTTTGTTTGCTTTATTGGGTGGTATTTTCAATTTACTTCATTTGGAACACTTTGTTAAAATTGATTTATACTCTACATAACATGCATGGTTACATTGCCACACTTTGGTGCTTTCCAATTCACATAGAATCATCAAAATTGGTTGAGTTTTGAGGATGAAAGATAAAGTGCAAATTTTTGAATTTCAGAGTTTTCCTCATATTTTGTAATTAGCAATAAACAAATAAGGTGCTGATTTTAGTAAACACAAAAGGTATATGAGCTCTATGAGCCCACTGAGTTCATAGAGCTCATAGAGCTCATAGAGCTTTCAGAGCAATGACAATGGCCATTTTACACACATATATATCCATATTATCTTTGCACTACTGGTGCCAAAATAACTAAGCAGAGTTCATGGAGATATGAAGACCATCCATGATTTAAAAACAAAAAGCTCTATGAGCTCTATGAGCTCACTGAGCTCATAGAGCTCATAGAGTGTTTCAAGTAATGATGCTGGCCATTTAATATGCATTTCCAAAAATGTATATACATATTATCTTTGCACTTCTGCATCCTTAGGAGAATAAAATCATTCAAACATTTAATTTTCTCCACCCAATGTGTAGAGGGTGCACAACAAAAAGACTCAATTTGCTCACAGAGCTCTGAGAGCTCTGAGAGCTCCAAGAGCTCCCTACCAAGTTTGCTGATGTATGGTATGGTCCAGCAGAAACTTGGACATGATGGGCTGGATTATTGTCTCAAGCATTCTTGTCCTGCCTGCCATCATAAAGTGAGTGCAATCATCAGAGGGCTGTTTCATCCTAATAGTATTTGTGCTCCAGATTGAGAATGAGCCAGAACTTCCTGTTCAGTTTATCATGACTGGTGATGGGAACACATTGCTCTCACAACTTCATCATCACTTCGAGGGGGACACCTGCACATTTGTCAGTGATTACTACATCACTTGAGAAGATGTTGATTGGTTTGCTAGTGTCCAGAAACATTCATGACAAGAAACATCAAGCCAGGTAGATATTTCTTTTGCATTTTGTGTATTCTACAACAGCACTCAACCTTTATCCTACATGTTAGATACAGCAGATTCAGATGACTCTGGAATGGAATTTGAGACTTAGTGTGGAAGGACCTCGGCCTCAGCAACTCATGCAGAGTGCTGTGCCATTGCTGGTTGTCTGGGGGTCCCTAATTTTGGACCTGGCAGAGGGGAAGTATCAAGTCGATTTCAGACTGAGGTTACAAGTTACTAGGTACATTGTATATAAGGAGGGGTCCAGAATCAAAAGGAGCAAGGGTACTCTGAAAGGAGACAAAGGGAGCTGGAAGGAGGAACAACACCAAGGGTCAAGGGTTTGACTCAATGGTGTTTCCCAAAGGAGGAGTGAAGGGCCAAGGCCCAAGGAGGAAGGAAGGAGGATGGGAGTGGGGAATGGCTAGCTGACTGAATAGAAAGGAAGCAGCAGCCCAAATAGGAATGAGGGAGAATAGCAGAATTGAATGGAGCAATGCAATAGTTGCAAGGTCCGAAGTAAGTCTGGAAAGTCTGAACTTGGAAGTTAAACTCCAGAATATTGGCAAAGGTAAATAAATGGAATGGGCTAACCAATACAATGGGTATAAGCAGAGGTGGGGTCAAAGTCCAAGGTTGGAGCTAAGACCGGAGGTTCCGGAGACAGAGATGCGAATGGGATTCTGGAGCAGAGGTCCGGAGTTGGGAGCATAGGTGTTGCATGCTTGTCTGGAAGGTGTCGAGGTTGAGGTTGGACCTGGAATGTTCCGGAGTTGGACCAAAGGTGGTGTTGGAGCTGGAGGTGGGATAACCTCTTGGGAGTCGGCAAGGAGAAGGTGACGGAAGGGAAGTAGGGCTCTGGAGTCAGTTTCAGAGTTCCAGGAGCCCAGAGTGGAGGTTGGGATTGTATGGATATGACACTACAGATGAAGAGGACCCATCGATATCGGATGCCTGCTTGGCTTGGAAGAATGCCTGACCAATGCCATCAAAGTCAAAGTCTGGATCACTGGGGTTATGGATGAAACTGGTATCTTTTCAGTTGTCTGTTGGCATGGAATTGTTCAGTTCCTCATCAATATGGTTCAAAGTGGAGAGCTGTGAGCCACTACTTGTGATACTTGCATCTAACTAACATTGTCATAGAACAAAATATCCATTGGCTTCCGTCAAGAAGCTCATACATACATTTGGCAAGAACATTCTGTTTGCCTATGATGTTGGGTGTACGTTCTCGGCAACCTTGTTGAAGTCATCAGTTGGGGATTTGGCAAGAGAAGCCAATTTCAGGTGTTGTACTGGCTCTTTTCATGGCACTGCTCATGAAAGGTCTTGCCAGCTGGAATACATTATTGGCTTACAGAAAGGTGCAGGCATAGAGGATGGCGAAGGGAACAAACGAGTCTACTCAGAGAGCAATGCCCTTGCACCCGTGGTTTGCCATGCATCACCCTATTACCGCCACCTTCATATCCACATCCATTTCTCCAAATGGGACGAAATCAAATATGAAAAACTAGGTGGGTCTTCTTATTGCGCTTCTATCCTAATCACCATGGATGGTATTGTACTTTGATAGGTGATTTCCTGTTGAGCAATTTCAAGTCTGCCAGGGAAATCATCAGCAACAGCAACGAAGTTCTGGAGGCCACAAAACAGTTATTCCCTGACTTTGACCCTGACCAAGACTGCCCCTGTTGGTTATCTGAGGAACATGACTATATTTTGTCACTCTGATCTCAACCTGCAGACAATGAAAGAGGGCTCATGGCTCTCTATCCGACTAAGCTCATGGGGCCAAACTCTCCCTAAACCTCTACTTTCTCTCTTAACTTCACTATGCTCTCAATCCTTAAACTCCGTGGTGGGTTCTCCAGGATTCTGCAAGGTCTGGGCTCAACAAATCCACTACCCACTCGTTGCAGGCTAGATTGTTTCCCTTATTCCTACTGTTGGATTCCACTCACTCACACCCACTCTAGCACGACCTAGCACCTTAGAGAAATTGGGGGAGGGGAGATTGTCATGGCCGTGCATTCCGGCCCATTAGCCGCCCGTCCCGACACCACCCGAGCCCATTCCCACTGTGCGAGTGCAAGCACGAGCCCCGACCCTCATCCCTATTCTCCTTGAGGACTCCCCGCTCACTCCCCACTTGCCCATGGTTCCCCAATGCTAGGCCGACTCCCCTGCTGCCACACCAACCTCCCCACCCTGAGTCCACTTCCGGCACCATGCCCAGCATGACTCCTCTACCCCGCCCACTTGGCCCCTACAAGGCCGCTACCATTCCCGTGCCTGACTCCGGCCCAACTCCGAGTCCAGTGCTGCTATGATACCATCGCCGCTATCGCAGACCTACGCTCCTTCCTTTATTTATTTGTTATTGTTTGTTTTGACCCTTGGTCATTGCCAGCCACTGTGCGGCCAACCCCGCTCCTTGTTCCCTTTTGCTTCCGGACCCTTCGGCCTTCGGCCCGGGTCTGCTTCAATTCATTCTACCTTCATATATATATCCTGTATACTATGGGGGTGGGCAACTGAAGGTTGCCCATGGGACACTTACATAAGCACTTTCCGTTCAAATGATGGGATGCAACTTGTTGCTCCTCTACCTCATTCCACAGTGCATATGCTGGGGATTTGTCAGAGATGGGCTGGGTTCTGTCGGAGTCGGGGTCGGAGGTGATGCAGAGGTCTGTTGGAGCACGCACACGTGGATATGCAGGCGGAAATATGCGGCACATCCAGAAGCGCTGTTCAAGGTTAGCAGAGTGGGATCGCAGCCTCAGCGACTCAAGTGGAGCGCTGTGCCCTGAGCTTGATGTCTGGGGGAGATCCCTTATTTACGACTCACAATTACAGTGGACTTCAAACAAGACTTGCAGGCAGAGCAGGCCCATAGGAGGAGCACAGACTCAGAAGGGGGGAAGCCCCTTTACAGAAGGAGGGACTCAGACCAGACAGGGGGGGTACTCTAGTTGATTTCAGACTAAGGTATTTACAAGGTATATAAATAGGCAAGAGGGAATATAGAAAGGCCGGTCAGTCCGGCACGGTCCAGCACGGAGATAAGCAGGGATTGTCAAACTAAATAAAGGACAAGAGCCCGGGAACTGGAAGTGAGGAACAGATCAATAAACAATAAGTGGCAAGGGTTATTGATGAATAACTGAATGAGATCAATAACCTAGTGCCAATAAAGAGGGGATCAAATGCCGATATTGGCAGGGAAGCAAACAATAAATGGCACTCGGCAAGGAATGAATGATAAGCTGCCAAGTGACTAATGGCCAGAGGAAAAGCGGAGGTCAGTGCGCAGCACTGATACAAGTCCGCAAATCAGGATGCGGGGTCGGTGCAATGCCGACACAAGTCCACAAAGGGATGTGGGAATCAGCATGGTGCTGACAAGTCCGCAACAGAGGGTGGTCCATCAGCACTGTCACAAAAGGACAGCATGATGGCCAGCAAGATACAGAGGGGAGTGTTGACCTGACCAGAGGTGTCAAGGACAACCAGAAATGGACAGAGGTTGCGGAAGGTGCGGAAGCGGTGCATGGCTGTGACCACATAGTGGAGTGGTGGGTGTGGTTTAGATGGAGACAAGGTGAGAGGAGACCAAGTCTCACTTGATAGTACAGACATCGGGTTGGGGCTGGTAAGGATGGGTTTGGGTCGGTGGATTCACCTATCGGCATTGGTTCGCCGCTGATGGAGCCCCGGGATTTGTCGGTCGTGACAGGATTGTGCAGTGACCTGCATGAGAGAAGCATGTATAGTGTATTTTGAGCCTATAATTAAATTATTTTGATGCATTATTTGTTGAGATCGTGAGTATGAAACTATGTGGTTACTGATGAAGCAGAAGACAGCTGATCTGCATATCGATTGACTATTTGTTTAAGATGGGCCTTCCTTGGGCCAGATTTGAGGCTTCGGGCCTTTGTCCAGGGCAATATGAGTTCGTCTTCACCCAAGCTATGGTGTTTGTTAATCTGAAGTATGACCTGCTCCCCATTCAACTTCCCGACTTCCAACAGGTCCAGTATTAGTCGGGTATCTTCCAGCTCTCTTGTAATTTTGTCGCATTTCATCCTCTTGGTTTCCTCTTGTTTCTGGTGGTCTTCTGCTTCCTTCACTGCAGCACTGACTAGAGTCTCCCTCCATGCTGCTTCCTGGCCCATCTGATCTAGTTCTCTGGCATGCTTCCTAATCCACTGAAAGTGCTCTTCTCCAAACTTCTCCCTAATGAAAGCTTTGGTGTTGTTTTTATGGTATAACATCATTGCATTGAACCGGTGTTGGCCGAGGGATGCAAAATCACGTGCCCACACTCTCCAAGTACCTGTCACGACCTGGCAACTCCCACGGTCAGGTGATCACTCCCCACACCTTCTCCCTCCTCCACTTCGACCCTGTCAACTCCGCCACCTGCCTGACACCACCTGAACAAGCCCGTCACCTTTCCCCATCACTGCTCCCTGTTTCCACAGCCCGTCACGGGCCTATAAGTCATTCCTTATCACGCTTACTTTTCTTGACAGCCATGCATGGCTGTCCTTCTCCCACACTCTTTGTTTGTTTTCGTTCCTTCTTAAGCCCGCCCGCAATCTCTGTGAGATCTGGTGACTTAATTCTATTCATTCTGTTATACTTAAATACCGCTTGTATACTACCTCATACTTTAGTTCGAAAATCAACTAGGGTTATCCCCACACTCTCTGTCCGACTCAGTCGCACCCTCTGCCTTCTGAAATATCGGGGCCGCGTCAAGTATGAGGCGCAACGCTCACACACGAGTCGTTGAAGCCGAAACCCCGTTTTGCTGCGATTGTCACCCCTGCCCTTAACGGGCTGTTACGCCGGAGCAGCGGACCTTAATGGTCGCCGATGGCGAGCCACGGTAATGTTTCCCATGCCCTGACAGTATTTTCAAACTCCCCTCGCTCTTGACATTAAACAATGTCTCGCAAACCCAGAACCCGTTCTCAGACCTGCCAACCAGTGGCTGGTACTTCCGCATCACCATATAAGCAGTACACCTCACACGTATTATTTGATAGGGAAGAGTCAGATGAACCGTTATTCGAGAGCTTCACAGCAGACCGGGCAGACTTACGGTCCTCAATGCCGGTGAAACACTGTCGATACCGCTGGCAACGAACGCTGAGCAAAGTTGACAGCGATTCACCTGGTAATGAGGCCGAGTCAACGGCCCAGATACCAATCGAGCCATTGCCAGAACCCGAACCAGAGCCCGAGCCAGCACCACAAGAGGAGCTACCCACCGATCCGCCGGTTACGGTCGATGAGATCGAAGAGATCAATATTGACCAAGCAGAGCAAGCCCTGCCAAAGGGACGTATGGCCTTCATACTCACCAAGGCAATCAGCGACCTTGCTCGAACCACTTGTGACATCCGCCAGATGATTCCGCTGCCGGCACCACCCCCAGCTCCTCCACTGCTGCCTCGACCTGAACCGGCCCGTAAGAAGGTCTGTGAACCCGAACCATTCGATGGCTCTGACCGCAACAAACTCTGTATGTTCTTCGTCCAATGTGAAGTAAACTTTATGACCCGCGCCCGAGCCTTCCCAACCGAGGCTGACAAAGTCCTATTCACCATCTCGTACTTGAAGGGGGCAGCACTGGACTGGTTTGAGCCCGATATCCTTCACGGCCACCGGCCCGGTCGAGAACCACGGTGGATGAATGACTGGACCAGGTTTGTGGGAGAACTCGAACGTAACTTCGGCCCGTGCGACCCCATCGGCGAAGCTGAAGAGCGTTTGTTCAACCTAACAATGAAGGATGGACAGACCATCAGGAAGTATGTCACCGAGTTCAACCGCTATGCAGGTAAGTTGGACAACTGGGGTGAAGGAGCCCTCCGCGCCCTGTTCTACCGCGGCCTGCCTGATCGTATCAAAGATGAAATCACTCGGTTTGGTAAGCCAACGTCGTTATACGACCTATGGGACCTCGCCGATGAAATCAATACATGCTACTGGGAACGAAAGACCCAGACTGATCGGCGTAATAAACCCACCTCCAACACCTACGATAAAGGCTCCCAGAAACCACACCCTGCCAAATCCCACCGATCTGCTGCGCCCTCCTCCGCCACACCATCCATGTCCACCACCAATAAACCAAAGGACAAGCACCCCGACGGTAAGCCTAAATCTGACCTCACTGCAAAACTCAGGAAAGATGGCAGGCTGACCAAGGAAGAGCATCAATGGCGCTTCGACAATAACTTGTGCATGTTCTGCGGTAAGTCGGGACACGTAGCTAAAGAGTGCTACAAGGCCGGATCAAGTGCGGCCAAGGCCAGAGCGGCCAAAGTCGCCACCCCAGAACCGGCCACGACACCAGAGCCGGAGTCAGACTCATCATCTGATGCAAAAAACTAACCGGCAACCCTCCGGACGCTGCACGATCGGAGGGTTGTACTCAATCCCTTCATGCAAAGAGGGAGGTACGCTTAAACACGTCCACCCTATCGGACCCCAATTCTCTCTCCTTCTCTGTTTCTTTCGGTTCCTGTGATGGTCGATTTCCCGCTTCAA